CGCTGCCCAAAAAAACCCTCTTCTGGGTTGCAAAAGGGACCTGGTGCAGGATGGGGCCAGTGGTCCTGGGGCAACTTCGGTGGAAATTCATCCAACCTGCTGTGTAAAATGCAAAATATTGGGTGAAACCTGGTTGGGGGCACGGAGGGGGGGGGGGCTGGAGCCAAACCCCATGTTCACCTTGGGGTGGTAGAGTGCAAAGGACTCTGCGAGCAGCCATATGACACCTCAGGGTTGACGGGACTTCTAGCTGCTTGGGTGCTCATATGATCCCCTAAAAATAGCACCTTATGTTTGCCATCGTTGCTCTCCAGCTATTTTAATGAGCCCATGGTCTCCGGTTTTTGCTTTGTGATTTGTAAATAGGAAATATTTACGCTCGGCCGGTAACGCCACATTCCTCCAACCTCTCCTCTTAAATTAGCTGGGTTATGGCTATGTTTATAAAATACCTAATGCGTTTGTCCTGATATCTGTAAAAGTCACTGTCCTCTGTGTGTGATGTTTTTAGAGAGAACTATTTTTTAGATTGCTCAGGCTATTTACAGGCATTTTTTTCCCCCTCATCTGACCTGTCACAAGGGTGCCCCTTTCTTAACCTTCTGTTGAAAGGCTGATTCATTGCAAGTCCTGGGACGGGCTGAACCTCTCCTGCAAAATGCAAAGTGCTGTCAGATTTCACTGACAATTCCTGATGGGAAGAGAAAGATTTCCAAGGTAAATCAGTGCCCAGAGGGCAGATAGGTACCTAATATGATTTTTAGCTATTTTAGATACAGAACAGTGGTTTGCAGGATGAAACCCTTGCTTGCAGAATAATTTAGCCATCTTCTGGTGTTAGCATTTCCTGTAGCAGGTTTCTTTTCTGTCACATCTGTCTTCCGCTCCTGGCAGGGTGCTTAATAGTGAAACGGTTATACAAAAACATCTTTTGGGGTTTCTGAAGATACGATCGATGTGTGTGAGGTGTCTCTCTTACCAGCAAAAGCAAGACTTTCCTCATGACTGGAGAGTCAGTTTATTTGGGGGAAATAGGTAGGATGTGGTTGCCATAGACATCCTTGCCAAAAAACTGTAACTGGGGCTGTGTCATCAGAGTCCTTCCAGTCTACCTTCTGTCTCTGAAAGCCATAAATGAGCTGCTGAGCCCCAGTCTGGTGCCCCAGCCTGGGCACCTCCCAGTTTCAGGATGAGTGTTGGGGGCTGGAATCCAGACGAGTTGTCTCGAGTCAGCTGAGTCCCAGTGGTACTGATGGGGCAGCAGATCAGGCTGTAGAAAGTCCTTTAAAACTGAATTTAAGGTCATGTTTCCACAGATGGACACAAAGATGGTGGTACCAATGTCTGCCAGCGATCGCAAATGCAGTCAAAGCTGAAATGTAGCAAAGTTTGTTGGTTTCGTGAGAAATCTCCTTTCAGAGAAGAATCGTAGTGTTTTGTTTGTTAGCAAATAATATCTTGTACTACTTTCTGGGGGCAGGATGAAAAGAATTTTGATATTGCACTATATTAAACACCACATTATAAAATTCTGAGAAGTGGAATCAAGCTTCTCTGGGCAACCTGTTCCAGTGTCTCACCACCCTCATAGCAAAGAATTTCTTCCTAAGATCTCATCTGAATCTCCCCTCTTTCAGTTTAAAACTGTGACTCCTTGTCCTTTGGCTCCACTCCCTGATCAAGAGTCCCTCCCATCTCTCCTGCAGCTTCTTTAGGGACTGGAAGGCACCTGAAAAGTGATGCTTTCATGTTTAGCAGGAAATCTGCAGATGCTCAGAAAGCCCAGTGCCTCCTGGAGGAGAATGCAAAACTGGAGACCCCGACTCATTTTCAGCCATTATCTCTCTTTCAGCAAGGGGTGAAATGCAAAAATAGCAAGAGGAGGAACAAGTGGTGCACTTCCCTCCCCAGAAACAGGGAGCATTTCCATCATCTTAAGAGGTGTGTATCCAGATCAGCTTGAGCATGGAAGGAAGGGATTTGGGTTGCTGAGAGGCTGCAGGAATGGGATAGAACTGGCAGCCACCTCCTCATCCAGACAGGTCCCCGGACATCCAGACATAGAGGTGGAGCCCCCTTTGCTGGAGAACAAGCTGAAGGGTCTTGGGCTGTCCCAAGGAGGCTGGTAGAGCAGCTTCTAGTTTGCACCATAACTTTTTTTTTTAATTTCTATGCACTCCTGGGCACATCCAAGAGCAGACACACAGGGGCTAAAAACACCCCAGAGAAATGCAGACCTTGCAAGACTTTTTAGATGGGACACAGCAAGATCTACCTGTAAGCGTGGGAGTCAACATGCAGAGCAGATGAAGGTGTTGTCCCCGCTGTGGGACATGTCCTCACCCTTGGTTCACTGCTTTTGTTCAGCTGATGTCCAGCCCATGCTCTGCCCTCATCTGTCCGGTGCCTGGAGATCAAGTTATTACACCAACTGTGATAGCACCCAACAAATCATTCAGTTTGTGGCTGCCAGGTAAGAATTGAGCCTCCGTTGCTCTTCTAGACAAAAAGTGCTGTAAACAAGCGACTTAAAACTCAATATACTCATATTGCTCTCAGGGGTTATTAAATAGACCCCTTGCTCCTTAATGCCATGAGAATTATAAACCATTTACTTTCTGCAACCAAAGCAGTTCGATGCTTGCGTTTTCCCAGTCTAAGGTGGGGTGTTGTCATTTCTGTTTATAATCAGTTCCACTTTCTAGTCTCCATGTACGAGGGACTCTTCGCCTGTCATCGGTCCATTGACCCCTGGGGGTCTGCACAGGGCTTCTCTGGGATCTGCAGCTAAGGTAACAAAGGGAAAAAACCCATCTTTCTCAGTAGGGCAGAACTCCATTTATTTCCCTGGAGAAAGTGTTAAGGGATGGGATACAAGTCAGAAAAGGCTAAAAACTACTGCTCTTGCATAAGGCTGTCACGTCTGTAGTCTCAGCCTCAGCAAGGGTACGAGTTTCAAGTGTGTGTGTGAAAGATGGATTTCATTATACATACATACATTCATTTTTCCATTGACATATTTGTGCAAATTGCCTACTCTTTTCCTATTAATTTAGAATTTTGATCCAAATTGCTGCCTACATAAGTTCAGCGTGATCCGTTACTGCTCTGCACTCACTGAAAGGAAGCAGCAGGAATTTTTTGCTTTTTAAATTTCCTGGGAGCAGGCTAACAACATCCGAGTGCCGCTGGGTTGTGTTTGCTGTGTGCTATTCAGTCATTTCCCCCAGAAGTGGTTTGATTTTAATGACGGGCCATCTGATCCCAGCGTCTCATCTGAGCACTGAATCTGCAAATATATGTATTTATTATCATCATATTTGAATAAGCACCGTGCCTATCCCAAGATTTGAGCCCTTTTCAAAGCTGGAGCCTGTAAAGCATGTTCATCATGCAGAATACTGTTAACCCCAGCTGCTTCCATGTGCCTGCTTTGAATTTTCCAAGGCATCAGCCACCCTTCCTGCCCCAGGGGTGGTGATTTCCAGAGGGGTCTTTCTCGTTGCAGCTCAGCCTCTGAGCAGTTCACAAGTTCATGGGCTTACAGAGCACAGGGCTCTACCTGCCTCCCTTCATAGACAGCGGGGATGGGGTTATTTTTAGCACAGCTATTCCAGAAATACATTCCACCCCTCTTCAGAAATGTGTGGGAGAGACAGACACACACATGCAGACATTAATGGCAGTGGGTGCCTGAAAAACTGCCCTCTTCAGAAATGTGTGGGAGAGACAGACGCATACATGCAGACGTTAGTGGCAGTGGGTGCCTGAAAAAACTACATTTCCACTGTCTGTTTTCATCCCAAACTTCTAATTTTTTTTCCAGTGTGTGCCAGTTCTTTCCGATGTCTGGGTTCGTAGGTGCCATGACCCTGTGCATGAGTGCTCCCATGGGTGCTGGGCATGAGTAGCTGTTGGAAGCATGGAGTTTAGAGCCAGAACTTCACAGAAGCTCTCAGACGTTTGGTAGGACCAGCATTCAGTCTGGGATGAGCAAGGAGAAGCACTTGAGCACCAAAAGCCCAGACCAGGAGTTTAGCAGAGTGTGGACTTTGCAAAAACCTTCCTACTGGGACCTAAGGTGATGGATGTGCCTCTCCCAAAGCTGAAGGTTGCTTTGGAGAAGGCAGGTCATTGTCCCACCAAGGTCTGGGAAGCTTCAACTACTCTTGGATCACAGGGAGGATTAGTTCATCACAAGCCTCCTGGTGCTTGGAGTTTCTCAGGCAGCAGATACTGCATGGTTGTTGCTTCGTTCATGCTGTAGCTATGTAATTAGCAGCTCTTTTTAAAATGCAAATGAGCGCTGGGTTCACGTGGAGCCCTGCTCTGCAGTGGGAGTTGGGCTGTAACCACAGGAGGTTCTTCTGCTCTTCATTTTGGGGCAGGCTGTGGCTAAAAAGTCCAGCGTGATGCTGAGCCCCGAGGGACCCCCATGGCTTCAGAAAGGAGCTCGGTGCCCTCAGCGTGGCACGGGGCACCACCCACTGCTGGTATCAGCAGGACAGAAACCCCACTGGTTGGCTTTATGGCATATTTCCCCTATTATTCAACATCCTATTGCAGTTGGCCAGATGAAATCCAATGCCGGCATGTGCCTTCCAGGAGGGCGGCTGGTCTTGTTTGCTTTGGAAGGACAGTGGAATGGGGTCCTTACTCCAAGAATGCTGGATTCGTTTGTCCAGCCTCAATGATGATGAAATGAGCTATTTATGAAAAAGCACCGGGAGGAGAGCAATGTGTTACTCATGTGCATGCTTCTTCCCGGGTATTTTTAATACCTTAATAAACACGTCGGCTCCCACCTGTAGGTACAAAAATGCAGTCCTTTAAGGTTCAAATCACTGGCGTTGGGGAGCCAATGGGGCAGCGTTGCTTTCTGTATCAGTTATCTCGCCAGCATTACCAATGGCCAATCTGAATGTAAAAATAGCTGATGACTGTTTGTTTCATCTGTCTGTTACTTGACACCGCATGGTTATTCCAATACGTATGTTTGCCTCTTCCCCACCATGATCTCTGTTTGGTTTCCCCTTGCCCGATAACTATTTAAATACATTTTACTAACTTTGGATTCCTTGCTCGCTCCACTTCACCTGGCTGGGCAGGTCTGCGAGGGCTCCGGGGGGTTTAGCTCCTCCGTTTTTATTGCTTTATTTATTTCTTTCTCAGGGGTTGTTTCTCTTAAGATAACCATGTTCAGGAGGAAAGTCTGAAGCACATAAATAATGGGAAGTGCTAATAGCAAGCAGGCTGCTGTAAAACGTGCTGGGGCTTTGACTTAAGGGAAGAAATCTCAGCTCTGCCTTGTCCCTGACCAAGGAGCTGGAGCACAGAAGGTAAGGGGGGAGCCTGTGGGTGTTTTTAAAGCAGGGAAAGGGTGAAGAATGGTGGTGTCCGACTGTGTGAAAGCGTGTGCACTCAAGGATCGGGTGTGTAATTGCTCAGATAAGAGAAATCAAACAGCTTTTATACAATTCTTTCCGTGATTAGGGGTGGAAAGTCGTTTTGTCCAGCTTTTTTTCTGCTCTGAAAAAATGCAGGATTGTCTCGGAAAGTCTGTATGTGGAAAGTGACATGCAGATAGATTTGTATGCAGTGATTACAACATATAGTTATTTGGAAAAGGGGTATGATCTTTTTAAAAGATCTCTAAATTGCCATGAAGCTACATTTAATTGTCCTGAGCATTATGCTGTAAGCAACTTCAAGCAAATAAACATTGATTTTATTTTCCAGATCATTACTGCCTACAGATAGGATACTTTTAAAAACTTCAGTGATTTGTATAAGGGTTTGAAGGCATTTTTATTTCTTTTTTTGGAACAAATAGGAAGAGAATAATTTAAATATTTTATAGAGGGCAATTAGTGTGCTACAGAGCCTGAAAAAGTAAAATAGTTCAAATACCTAGGCAGTGCTAAGAGGCCACTATAAATGACTGTGACTATGACTTGTATCCATTTTTAATCACTGGAAAATTTCTTAAATGGTGTAAGCTTTTCTGAGCCCAGTTGTTGCAGAACTTCTTCATCTGCCATCCCAAGGAGCTGCGTTTTGTTAGCCCTGCTGTGGAACTCGGCAGCAGAATAAGAACAGAAATAATTAAAATTGAATTAAGAAGCCCAACTGCTTGTGGTTTTTAAAGGGCCTGTGAACAGGTGATGAGATGAAATCTGAAGAGGGAAAAGTTTTCCAGCAACAGGCCAAAAACGAGGGGCTCACACTGGCTTTGTACAGTATCAGCCAGAGGGTTCCTGATTACTCCTCTGCACTTGCTGGGAGGGAGGCAGAGGAGAAGGAAAAGTGAGAAGAGGTAAGAAGGGGAAATAAGCTTTCTGGAGGGAAACCAGGTTTTCATGGCCTTTAAGTGTGTATGGTCAGACAGACTGCCACCGAGACCCCCGGCAGCCCCAGAGAAACTGAGGCAGTGTTGAAGCCTCGAGAGGCCAGCCCTTCCCCAGAAGTAAGGTTTCCCTCTCTTCTGGGTTGCCCTGCCAAATGTTCATCTTTGGACAAGAATAGAAAGCAGATATTTAATTATAGTCCTATGTTTCTTTATCATCCATATCCTGTGCTTGCAAATAATGATATCCAAGAAGGCATTAAGTAGAAATGATTAATCTAAATCATCTGGTAATGGTCAGAACAATCTTCTGATGAGCCAAGCAGGTCAACTAGTGATGCATCTTTATTTTCAGTCTCTCACAGAGCTACATCCCAGCAGTTTCAGGGATTCCTTCCCTGGTACCTACACACTGTGTCTGAGGCTGTTTTGGGAACTGTGATAGAGCTATGACGGTCAGGTGTAGGAAGGCCACCAAACTCAGACTTTCCATTTAGAAAAGAGAGAGATGAAAATCCCTGCAATTTTTTCTTAAAAGTCTCTAAAAGAGGTGCATGTGGTTAACGTTTGGCTTAACAAGCAGAGTCAGCAAACAGCAGCATCTGGCATTTTACAGCTACTGCAGATCCTCAGTCTTGGATGTGCCTCTCTCTGCCACCTTTACCTGGACCAGACACGAGCTCTAATACCTTAAGGTCAGCTTGGCTTGATGTCAGCTTTGTTATCAACCCTTGGACAATTCTGCATACTTCTATTGGCTTTTCTTCTGTTGGGATGTATTTCAGGAGTGTCCCCATCCCCATCCTTTCCACATTTCAAAGCACAGGGATCCCTTGTGTAGAAAATGGGGGAAGTGCCCAGGACTGTTTGGGATGTTGGTGCAGAAGCAAAAGCACATTCAGAGGGAACTGCTCCCTGAAAGCTGCATCCAGGGTTTGTCCTGGGGCAGTGGGGCAGCCTTCCTCATCATGACATTGTTGTTCATCAAAGACTCTTTGTTTGGACTGATCTGCTTTGAAGTCATGGCATGAAGTCTGTTTCCCCAAAACTGAGAAATTGTTATTTGACTAGGCTTGTGAATTGAATGAAGCTTTAGGCAAGTAAGGTAGAATTATAGAATTACCACTTGGGGTGTGGGGGAGAATTGAGGAGAAGAGCTGGGGAAGAAGGGGCTCGTGACAGCATAGGGCTGTGGGTGATACTATTGCTTACCTTTGGGGTTCCTGAGAGGCTCTGGGTGGTCTGGAAAAGCACTGTGATGACAGTGAGGTTGCTGAGGGACTGAATCAGCCAGTCATTGACCTGTCTCTTAGGGAACAAGTGTAGATTCCACTTAAAACTCCTATGATTTTCCTTTCTGTCTTTTGGATATATCCTTTGCAGAATAATCACAAGAAATGCCTTAGCATGTGCATTAACTGTAAAAGAATGAGGAATTGCTTTGGGGACATGCCATTAAATCATAACAATGAATCAATCTCTGAATAGGAAGAGGGAGTTTGCATTTCCCAGGGAAAAAAAAAAAAACAAACCACCACCTCCTGTTGCACAGTGAAGAGGAAACTGGAAGAAGCTTCCATCTTGCTCAGGACAAGACCACTGGCTGGCTTTTGCTTCTCAAAGGGAGGAAAATAGTGTGGCCTCCAGAGATAATACCTGGAGGCAAGGGTAAGTGGGCTCTCCCCTGCCCTCTCAAAGTCCTCCCATAGATGGGTAGCTGTCCCATGGCCAGATAGTTGTCCCACAGCCACCTCCCAGACAGCAGCCAGGAGTAAGGCAAGCCCCAGCTTTTGTCCTTCAACTGGACTGGCTCCGTTATAATCACAGATGGTTGAGGAGCAGTTTGTCATCAGAGGAAAGATGTTATGTGAATGAATGGTTATGTGCTTGAGTCATATGCTCTGGCATGTATATAAGTGTGCGTTTCCCTCCCTGCCCCACAGCTTGCCCAAGAACCCAGCTCTTTGGACTGCACTTGAAAGCTGCAGCAAGGTGTCAGTAAGAAATAGCTCTATTCCTGCAGCCCAAGCCAGAAAACCTTGAAAACCAAAGCCTCTGTCTTCTCTTTTCCCCTCTGGTACATATACCTATTTGTCTTTGGTAACATAAGACAGGTATTTCAGGATAGTGCGTGTCTCTAAATCCCATGGAATTCAGTGGGTGAGAAAAACCACTTAGAACTTAAAACAATTTTTAACCTAGCACGTACAAACAGCTTGAATTCCTTTCTTTATAGAAAACAGATTCAACAAAATCCTTGTCCAAACCCTGGAAATATCCAGAAGATATAAAGGAGAAGGTGAGACTACCAGGAAAAGAATAAGACTTGTTTTCTGCAAACCTGTTGTTTCCTGAGACTGTATCCTGGAGGGACCAGGGAGGGGAGGGTCCGACTCTCCTTGTCAAGAAGCTTAAATGCTTCAAGTGTAAACTTGACACTGGTGATGGGATGGGAGAGCTGGGGCTGATGAGGAGGGCAGTGGAAGTCGGGGCTGGTTTCGGATTGCCCAGCCTGGGAGGAGAAGTGAGGCATGGCTGGTTGCTAACTGCAGGTTTCCTTCTGTAGGTCACCTGCTTCCCTCTTGTGTCTGGTGTGCTTGCTGGTGTCATTACAATTTCCCCATGACAGGGGCTGGCACTGTCTGGTGTGTTCCTTTACGAGGCATCCAACCCATTATGTTTGTTTTCTTGTCCATGTGGGTTTTTTCTTCCCTTCCCCATTTGTCATCTCCCATCTCTAGCTATTGTGATGCTGTGGTGCTCTACAGCTTGCCCTCTGCTGTGGGAAGAATCTCCTTTCTCGCACTTAAAGAGTGAAAACTCAGAATATTTCATCCTCTGAGCCTTCCTTGAGACTAAATGAAAGGAGGTAATGCTGGTCTCATCAGCCAAAATCCTGTCAGAGCTCAGGGAGGGGGCTGTACCGATGCCATGTCAGTTGTCACCTTGAACTATGAGAAAGTCTTGAGTCTTCATGATGTCAGAGAGAGATAGAGGTATCAAGAACCTGAGGTGGAGCAGAGATCTTTGTAGTAAGTCAGTCACATGCAAATCTGGATGGATTTCACAGTACAATATAATGCCAAGCCACAGCACCATACTCAGTTGAAGGGTTTATTTTATTTTGAAGGCATATTTTTGCCTTAACTGACAATGGTTTTGCTCTTCTTGTGTGATTCCAAAAACATAGATGTGGTTCCCTGCCCTGCCACACGTACCCTGTGTGATCTTGGGCAAACCAGCCAGGGCCTGGGCTGCTGATCTGCAAATGAGGCAGAAATCCTGCTCGCAGTGGGAGAGGTTGGAAGGATAAATAGCCACAAGGTGCTCCTGTACCATATTACTGGGGAGCTGTATAAATATCTCAGTGTATAATGATTGACCTAGTTACAGACAGTGGCCTTTTCCAGTCAGGCTTTTAATGCCAAGAAGTGCACTGTTTGGGTTCAGTTTCTTAAATGTCACTTGTCTGTGCTGACTTGGGGTCACGGGAGGAGCACCATCCCTTCACCTTGTGATTCTCATGGACTTGTGCTGTTTGTCAAGTGCTGCACCTGCCCTTTGCCTGTGTTGGTCACACGCTCTGTCCCTTTGACTTCTTCTGTCGTGTCCCTGTGCCACTGACTCTTCCAAGGCCGTGGGTAGGGCTCAGGTAATGGAAGGAGAGAACAGGAGTTGCAAGGAAGCCTCAGATACAAGCCATTCTCAGACATCTCATTCTTCCAGACTTGATGGGCTTCTTGGCAGGATTTGAGGACTCTGGGAAAGGTGGTCCGGAGACCAGCTGGAAATTACTGTTGGGTCTTTGTCATCGGACCAGAAAGAGAAAGGTAGAGACAGTTTCTGTCATTCTCCATAGCTGTTCCAGTTTTCTTCAGGTGAGGTCTTCATCTCCCACTGTTTGAAGCTTTGTGGTCTGAGCTGAAGAGGTAAGAGTTCCAGCCAGTGCCTGGAAAAGGTTCGTATCCTTTGGGGAAAGGAGACAGAGCAGGATACATGACACAGGGTCATTAGCTCCCTCCTTGCATTCGTGATTCCACCAGGTTGCACTGACCTTCCTTGAGCTGTGAGTCTGATGAGTCCCCAGTTGCAGCTCCCATGGCAACAGATGCACACTGGGCTCAGTAGAGCTCACTGGGAGAAAAAGACTTCAGCTGTCTTCAGAAAAAAATGGTTTGATTAAACAAAGTCACAACCATATTCATTTTAATGACATTTCCACTGGAAAGATAACTGGAAACATTTTTTTTTTAATCAGTTAGAATATTTTCTTAGGGAAATTTCAAAATGAGATGCCCCTCTGTTGCAATAGACCAGCTGGAAATTACTGTTGGGTCTTTGCCATTGGACCAGAAAGAGAAGGGTAGAGAGAGTTTCTGTCATTCCCCATAGCTGTTCCAGTTTTCTTCAGGTGAGGTCTTCATCTCCCACTGTTTGAAGCTTTGTGGTCTGAGCTGAAGAGGTAAGAGTTCCAGCCAGTGCCTGGAAAAGGTTCGTATCCTTTGGGGAAACAAGACATAGCAGGATACAGGACACAGGGTCATTAGCTCCCTCCTTGCATTCATGATTCCACCAGGTTGCACTGACCTTCCTTGAGCTGTGAGTCTGATGAGTCCCCAGTTGCAGCTCCCATGGCAACAGATGCACACTGGGCTCAGTAGAGCTCGCTGGGAGAAAAAGACTTCAGCTGTCTTTTCTTCAGAAAAAAATTGTTTGATTAAACAAACAAAATCCCAACCATATTCATTTTAATGACATTTCCACTGGAAATATTTTTTTTTTTATCATTTGGAATATTTTCTTAGGGAAATTTCAAAATGAGATGCCCCTCTGTTGCAATACCATCAGAGTATTGGTTGACGTAGAAAATAAAATGAAAAGTTTCGGTGAAATAGCATGCACTCTCTCTGACTTAAAGGCAGTTATACTATTTTAACTATTATGGTATATATCACATGCTAGTTCTCATGGCCTGTAGCATCAAAATAGTGAAATAATCTGAAATGAAAGATTTTTTTAAAAAATTCTGAATGAAATTTTGAAATATGTAAGTTAATTTCTGTTCAGAAATCTGTATTCCATGGGAAATTTCAAAAGCAATCTAAATGAGGACACTCTCCCATCACACACACAAAACTAACCACATTTCCAAAAGATTATATTCTCCAGAGGGTGCCAGTTCAGGTGGGCAGCTGGCTCTGCTGTTCCAGCCTGGAACTGCACAACATCTACCACACTACTATTTTAATGACATTTCCACTGGAAAGATAACTGGAAACATTTTTTTTTTAATCAGTTAGAATATTTTCTTAGGGAAATTTCAAAATGAGATGCCCCTCTGTTGCAATACCATCAGAGTATTGGTTGACGTAGAAAATAAAATGAAAAGTTTCGGTGAAATAGCATGCACTCTCTCTGACTTAAAGGCAGTTATACTATTTTAACTATTATGGTATATATCACATGCTAGTTCTCATGGCCTGTAGCATCAAAATAGTGAAATAATCTGAAATGAAAGATTTTTTTAAAAAATTCTGAATGAAATTTTGAAATATGTAAGTTAATTTCTGTTCAGAAATCTGTATTCCATGGGAAATTTCAAAAGCAATCTAAATGAGGACACTCTCCCATCACACACACAAAACTAACCACATTTCCAAAAGATTATATTCTCCAGAGGGTGCCAGTTCAGGTGGGCAGCTGGCTCTGCTGTTCCAGCCTGGAACTGCACAACATCTACCACACTACTCTTTGGTCTAGGTATTCTAGTGAATATTGCAGAAAAGAGAAAAATCACTTTATCCCACATGCACTGCTGTTGTCGGTGGCAAGTCCTACAGGTTAGACAATTGGACTTGTCCAGAGGATGTGATTTGGTGGCATCACAATGCGGTATCGGTTCCAAATCCCCTTCCTCTGCACGTTGGTCTGAATGCCACGTAGGGGTGAGGTTTGGCTCTTCAGAGATGCTGGAATTCACTTTACTGTGGTTACAGTTACTGATGTCGCCTTCTGGATGGTGCACCAGTGTCGGCTTAGGAAGTGGATGGATGTAGAGTCACCAATTCTGTTCTTAGTTATTCTACTGACGTCAGTAAAATGACTCTAGATTTATACCAGTGTAACTGAGAACAGAAGTTGGCCCAAAGTCAAGAACAGTCTCTCCTCTTCTCTGGCCCAGGACAAGCTGTTCGAGACACAATTGCTGGGCCAAATCCTCACGGGGAATGGACCCAGTCTACACTGGTTTCGTTCAGATGTGTGGTTCCTTCACCTTGCTTTCCAGTGCAATGCTCAAAGGTCTGGTGCTGGAATAGCTGAGGTCACTTTGTTCTGTGCTAGTCATTTCTGTTGGGGTTTAGATCTTCATTCTGAGATCCAATTCTCTTCTGTCCATCAGCTGGAGCAGGTATTTGTGTTTGAGCAAAGTGGTTCCCCTTTCCCCAGGCAGGAGGATTCACTTTGGCTGCCTGTTATGACCACAAAAGTGATCTTGTTGGATGAGGGAAATGGAAGCTCATGACCATCTTCATCCAGAAGCTGCCTTTCTTGACAGTCCAGGGAAATGTTGTTGGAGCAGCATTGTCTCTCTTACCCCTCCTTGATGGGGGTCCATGTGCCCCAAGAGCTGCTCAGAGAGGCAGTGGGCCTGGAGGGCAGGTCAAAGGGAGCATTTGGCCCCCATGCAGACCAGTGTGACCAGCTCACACACCTGTGGCAGTCCAAGCAGCCCAGCCTAAAGGAAGTTCAGGTGTTCTACATCAGGCTACAGGGGTTTTTCACTTTTCTTGCCTTCTGGCATCTTGTCTCTGGCAGGGACCTTTAACTCCCTGACACCTTTTTGTCCATTTGCCTAAATATGACATGAAGACAGTGGTACAGTGATCATTGACCATCAGCAGTACACTCCATAGCTGTCCACATGCTGATCCCTGCTGCCAGGCAGGATTTTCTGGCAACAGTCAAGAGAGCTCACCAAGCCCTGTGAGGAGCAGCCATTGGCTGGGGACATTGTCTTGGCCTGATGACACACAGCTGAACGGGCCTGATTCCATCTAGTCCTCTCATAGAATCATGGAATGGTTTGGGTTGGAAGGGACCTTAAAGATCATCAAGTTCCAACCTCCCTACCCTGGGCAGGGACACCTCCCACTAGACCAGGTTGCTCAAAGCCCTGTCTCCAGCCTGACCTTGCAGGACAAACATGCACCTATGCAAAAATTTCATCAATTTACTACGGATTCTTCTGTTTCCCATGGGAAGAAGCACTAACTATTCATTGTCATCATGAACCCCCTGGAATCCCAAAGCAACACTGGGTGTGCAAATAGAGGACACCTCTGAATAAACCTCAATCAGAGGTCATCGTAGGGCTCTGAGTTCTAGATGGATGTCATGGAGAGAGCACCACATGAAGAAACCAGCTTACAAAGATTTAAAAAAAAAAGAATAAACCTCCTGTCCCTCTCCCTTCTCTTCCCATCGTCCAGGGGGAATGCAGCACTGCTGACTTCAGATCGCTATGCAGCTCCCAAGGGCGCTGCCAAAATGCCACTGAGATGTCTCATGGCACAATGTTTCAGCCAAATACCAGCCCGAGGGGGTGGGGGAACCAACCAGCCCTTTCTCTATTGCAGCAGCAGTGATGTCACACGCTCCAGCCAAGTTTGCTGGTTTCCCCACCTCCTGTCTAGTGAAAAAAAAGTTGACATTCAGTCTGTGCCAGGCCAGGAATAGTCTCTGTAATTTAACCTCCTCATCACAACTTGCTAGGCCCTTAAGAGGGCCACTGAAAAAAGCCTCCTATTTAAAAGAGAAGGGAGGTTGGTTTCTGATTAAGCTCCTTGAAATCTGTACGTTCACGCAGGCTTTTTGGGTAGCTCGTGTCAGCAGATGCCCATTGCAAACACCTCACGTGTTTCTCAGCGTTCCCTAAGCTGTTCCAAACACCCAGCCTTGTGCTTTCCTCTCTCTTGGAAACAGACTAAATTCAGACATCCTTAAATGTCTGAACAAGCTGAAGCCTGACCTATGCTCAAACACTGCACCTCGTTGGAAACAGACTAAATTCAGACATCCTTAAATGTCTGAACAAGCTGAAGCCTGACCTATGCTCAAACACTGCAGCACCTCACTTGCTGGCTGCCGTGTTTGTCCAAAATGGTAAAGAAATGACATTTTACTAATTTATTAAACCAGCCCTGAACAGCTTCTTTGCCCAAAGTTCAGAAGTCGCCATCATACCTCTACAAGGAGGAGCTAAATCAGTCCCAGTAGTGATATGCACCTTGAACACTTGGTGCAGACACAGCTTTTCCAGCTTGAAACATTACACTGCCCAAGTACTGGTATGATGGCCAGGCAAGACAAGGATCTTCACAGGGGTTTCAGAGACAGTGACAGTCGCTATTCTCTTTTTAATCAGTGGCACTGGGTGGTTTTTTTTTTTGTAACAGTGACTCCATCTAGGAAAATAAGTACTGAGATTACATCATGATCTCCCATGTTTATTGTTACCCTACTCACTTTTCAGCAGATGTTCTCGGCTTACAAGGGACGAGATGTTTCTCCAGACCTCTGTCCGTGAGATCTGAAAGCCAAGCTTCCTCCTAGTGCAGGCACCACCACCAATAAATAGCGATAAACATTGTGTCGGTGGAATTTAGTCAACAGCCCCAGTGATGAGTGAGCCAGAACATAATCACCATCTCCCACAGCTGTGTTGGCTTTGCACAGTTAAGGGTACAACAGAAGCAGTAAAATTGTAATTTAACCTCTGAGCAAAGAAGACTGAGTACATGTCTCTGCAATGACGATGCCCTTTTACGTCTGGCTGCAACCAGACATAGCATTGGGTTTTTTTTCCTTTGCTTTTCCTTTTTTTCACTCAGACACCTTAAAAGGACCACAAAAATCTCTGCTTGGTACAGGCATGTCCCTAAACTAATACTGACAACTGTCCTTCTTCAGGTAGGTGTAGGAGACCATCCCAGTTGGGTGAGCCTTTGTTGCCACTTTTGCCAGTGTGTTTTGAATACCCTGGGCTGACACAAAAGCTTCTGTAGAGGAGACCCTCACTTCAGGAAAGTCTACTCTATCTGCACCTGTGTGCTATTTGCCTTACCTTAGGGCCAGGCAGGGCCAGACCTTGGAGGTCTCCACAGGAAAAGAACAGCAGCAACACACATTCACCACAGCTAAGGTTTCCTTGATCATCTCCTGACTCTGGTTCGTGGTCCATGGGTGTCCAGAGAAGGGCAACGGAGCTGGTGAGGAGTCTGGAGCACGTCTGGTGAGGAGCGGCTGAGGTTGTTCAGCCTGGAGAAAAGGAGGCTGAGGGGAGACCTTCTCACTCTCTCCAACTCCCTGAAAGGAGGGTGTAGCCAGGGGGGTCGGTCTCTTCTCCCAAGGAACAGGCCATAAGACAAGAGGAAATGGCCTTAATTTGCACCAGGGGAGATTTAGATTGGATATTAGGAAAAACTTTTACACTGAAAGGGTTATTAAGCCTTGGAATGGGCTGCCCAGGGAAGGGGTGGAGTCACCATCCCTGGAGGGATTTAAAAGCTGGGCAGACATGGTGCTGAGGGATGTGGTTTAGTGATGGTTTTGTCAGTGTTGGACAGATGATTGGACTCGATGATCTGAAAGGTCCTTTCCAACCTGGGCAATTCTGTGATTCTATGCACAGAAGCAGAAAGCTATTTTCTTTACTGCCCCTCACCATCTCAGCTGCCCACTTTTCTTCTCCTTTCCAACAGGGACAGTGAAAAATATGGACTTTCTGAACCTCAGCTGCATTAGTTTCCAGCCCACCAGACCAATGGTTGGCTGTAGTTGCTGGCAAGAGGAAGTCACGTACAGGTGGAGTGGAGACTGTCCACTTTCTTCTACAGTCCCGATGAAAGGGTGGTACAGCAGGGACATAGACAGCAGCAGGGAAGAAGTCATCTCTTTGTAGCCTGGAGACATCACCCAGCCTTGCAGTGGGCAGACTGCCAGGAAACCATTGCTCACTCAGCCGTTAGTCCCTACCAGAGAGGGTGGGAGGTGGTAATAGTTGTTTGATGGTACCACACTCCACAAGCTACCAAACCCTCCAGGTATCTGCTTATTATCACTCTGGGATGGATACCTGTCTCTTTTGGTGAGGAACCCTGTAAATCGCTCCTAAAACATTTGTAAAACGTGAGTGAACAAATAAATGAATGAATACAGTGCAAGACAATCATCTTCAGATTGTGCAAACACATGTCTCTGTTTTCAAATTGCAGAGTTCACTCAAGATCAAAAAATGCTGAAGGTCGAAATCATCCCGGGACGCTGCTTCTGTAGAATCCACATCACTGGACTATTTCTACCTCCTCACTAAAGATGTTCAGAAATGGAGCCAAATACAAGCATGAGAGGGAGTTCTAAAGATGAGAAGCAAAAATTACATGGCAGGTATGTACCTGTACTTCCCACTCATTAACAGTTAAGGATTAAATGCAAGAATGGGGATGGCCTTTTATTTGTCTTTTCTTCTTTTCTTGCTGCATTAGACACAAAAATGTACGTGTGGGGCAGGAGAGTGGAACTCACGTTTGAAACATCTTTGTACAAAGTAAAATGGGGAAACTCTATTAACCCTGGCTTATTTCTGGTGTAAATCTATTGTAGTTCTACATACGTCATTGGAATTGTATGGCTGGAAGGACAGAATCAAGATTCACTGTGAAACTTTGTCTAAAAATAGGTTGGCTGAGGTTTTTTTTTAAATAGAAAAGGAAGGTGAGGAGTGTTTTTGTTTGAAGAAACGGCAGAGCCTGAGTAATTTTGCTGATTAAGTCCAGTTCTTCTGACTTTTCATACTTTGACCAGCGCTGGGTCATCATAGGGAAAATCGTGCCCTTTCCAGGAGTCTCCCTGAGATGGGCCAAAGGGAAATCATGGATTCAGGCAGCTGGAGGGGCTGAAATCTGCATCTGGATTTCACTGCTCAGTTCTACAGTGGATCCAAGCTTGAGATGGAGACAGCTTCCACTTGTATAGAAGCTGGAAACTGCTGTGGATATGAACTGTGGTGTTTCAGCTTATCAGAAGCCAATGATGCAGTTGTGCTAGGAAATGGAGATACAGACCAGACTTCCCTGAAGGTGTCTTAAATGACTTTCCTTTCAGCTAGGTCTTGAATATGCATTTAAGCTGACTCTCTGGAGTTTAGTCAATACCCTGCTCAAGCCCTTGAATGTCAGAATAAGTAGCTAAAGGGTTTGCAGAGTAAAGAGTTGTCGTGTATAGATTTCCAGTATAGCTGAAGGGTCTATTTTGCTTATACTTGCTTCATCCAAAGATTCCCCCATCCTGTCTCCAGACTGGGGTGGAGACAGAAAAAATCCACAGTTCTGTGGGCCTTGACTGTGCAGCGTAATCAGGGATTAATGGAAGGCTGTGATAATTTATAGTTGCGTTGAAGGGGTCACCTTTCGATCTCGGGCAGCTCTGCAAAGGAAACCAAATGTTTCCTGTGCTCCTTTAGTGGGTCTGCTGGGGTCCCCGAGGCACTCCTGCCTTCTGCTGGTTAACCTGATATTAGCAGCCTCTTTGGTTTCAAAATACTAACCCAACCATACTATCTGGATATGGGTGGCTAAAAGATTTTACCCCCAGCAATATTTGCTTGGAACACGCTAATGCACAGTAAATCCTCTTTACCTGCAGGGCCCTTGTGCCTTCTTAAACATGGGTTCTGCTCAGGGTAATGGTCACAGCAAAGCTCTAGCTGGATTCAAGCAGGTTCATCTCTATAGACTTGATTTTCTGTAGTCATGAGCTAACAGATGAGTGAGAATAGAGCCTTCTACCAGAACTTTATTTTTCACAAAATATTTTACATTATAATCATGATGTCTTCCCAAGTAAGTTTTATCAACTTTTCTTTCATTTTTGGACACAGTGTGCAATGATGTACCCAGTGACATTCTTTTTTTAAGTAAGTTTTCTCTCTTTTTATTACCAATTCTTCCTGGCCAAAAAAATGGCTAACCTTTGTAGCCTTGGCATAGCATTTGGAAGTGTTGGTGGTTGGAGGTATGGAAAGGGAAGTACTTGAAATATCTTTCCTTGGCTCTTATATCCTTGCTTAAGAGCCCAAGTGAAGAATCCGAGGTGAAACCACTTTTTTTTAATGGCACTTCCCAGAAATTAACATATCTGCCAGGAGCTACTTGAATGGACCAAAATAACAATTATTTTTTGTGTTGTTTATTGTGGGATTAGCATCTTGTTCAGAACACATGTAGGAGCAAATTAGTCAGTGACTGGTGTAGCTGGAAAAATGCTCTCTGTCCAATGGTGTTAATATCAAAAACAAATAATGTATAATTTTTGGTTTTGCAGAGAAGAAAGTTTCCTTCAGCTACTGTGTGAGATGAATCGACGTGCAGCAGCACCTTCTGGAGGGATTGCTTTGTGCTTGTGAATCGCAAACAGCTGGAACCACCCACCACAGTTGTCTGCCTGTTTGACACCCGAAATCAATCCTTGGGGTAATTTGTTCATGACTCCCAGGAAGGATGCAGGGAAATAAGAAACATACCGAAGGACACAGTGACTCCTCCAGTATCGGGAGCCTCCTGGATGACACGGACAGGGAGGTGAGCAGCCTCACAGACCGGGCCTTCAAAAGTCTGTGCGTGGCAGAACTTGAAGACTCTTACAATGATCCAGATCTTGCCATTTCCCCTGACTTCACCCTCCAGTTCTCTGCCAAATTCCACCCAGGGACGTTAAACCACGCCATCAAGAAAAGCAACATCCCTAACAAGCTAACGGCAAGAAACAATGAACATACAATATGGGCTTCCACATTCCAGCAGTTACCAAAGTGTGCTCCGGAGGAGAAGAGGGTTGCTAAAAATAACACCTTTGCCACGGAAAGGAAAAAGCTGAATTTGCCAGTCCCTGGTCCAAGGAACAATAAACATTTTTCAAAAGTGTCCTCATTGATTAAGACGTTTGACAAGACTGCAGACCAAGGGTCAGGAGGTTCCCTGGTAGCCATTAAGCAGCCCATTAGGAATAGCTTTCAAAAATATAAATTAAATCATGGAAATGATATGGCTTACTGGGATGACACGGACATTTTAAGCATCCACAAGGAACTTTCTGAGTTTTCTGAGGCTGGTCAAGGGAGCCAGTGTCTCAGTGACAAACATGAGCAACAGAAAAGACCTAATAAAATAGGCCTGGGTTATTGTGGCTCTGATGGTTATTATCCTGTGCTGATTGAGATGTCAAAAGTAGCCAAGTCAAATTTTTCCCGTTCTTCTAAAAAGGCTTTAAAAAACAGAAGTATGAAAGTTAATGAGCCAGCAAAAAAAGGTAATTTTCTTCACAGTGAGAATAGTGCTTTTGAATCATGGAACGTTCATCACAAAAAGCTGACTGAAAAGGAGGAATTTGTTGATATAAAAATGAAAAAGGAAGGTCTTACATACCTGGAAGAAGCACCATTTATTAAAGGATCCCACACACATGAACATAAATTGCCACCTGTCAAAAGCACTGTTGCTAAGAAGCAGGAGAAGGATTTTCAGATGGAGCCAACTCCACCAGAAGCTGCTTTCAGCGTCCCTCTCCCAGCTGTACCTCAGGGCCCCCTCCCTTCAAAACCTGAATTTCCTGCTGCTCTCCCACCCACTCCCCCACCTCGGATCCATGTGCCCCAGGGTCCTCCTAGGCCACCCCCTGTTCCTCTTCCACCCCCCATCCAACAGGGCCATCCCCCAACACCTCCTACCCCTGAAGCCCCTCCTGTTCCACCACCCCCAATGCCAGCCCAGCTTTCCCCCTCTGTCATGTCCCAAGCCTCTGTCTCACCCCAGTCTGTGTCCTACAGGGTGGTTTCATCCTCACCCATGTCCCAGGCACCCAGCTCACCTCCACGAAGACCCCTGACCACTTTAACCGAAGAGGAGGCCCTCAGTCCCCAACTGGGCCATACGAGTCCACCCTGGAGGAGACAGAAGGCTACCAAAGGGGCAGCAGAGAAGAGACAGACTTCAAAGGAGAAGTTCACAGCCAGCAATGAGATGGTTTCGTTGTCTGAAAAGGCGACTGGTGCTGAACCTGGTCTGGATGTGGCTCCTCTGGCTAAACAGGTGAACTCCCCTGGATCCATCAGTCCCTCGTTCAACATCTCTGAACTCTTAACACCCATCATACCACCAAAACAGGAAGCAGACCTCACGGAAAGTGAGCTGGTCCCACTGACACCTCCTCCCACCGAGAGCGCGGCCGCGAGAGACCAGGAAGAGGGCATGTTTGGAGATTACAGGTCTCGGGATAGTTACAAATCGAAAGCATCGAGTCTGTTATTCAACTTGAAGGATGTACGTAAACGCGTTAAAAGCATTTATACCCCTTCTCCCCTGTTAAGGGCCTTGGAGGAGAAAAATAAAGCTAGGGAAAATATACAGGAGAGTACAAAAATGAATGCCTCAGTTTCGACTTTACAAGAAAAAAGTAACAAAAGTATTGCAGAGAAAGATGAATCAAGTGATATAACCTCCGCATTGTCTGGCAGTGTACCTGAAAAGGACAATAAAACTGATTTAACTGCACACTTGACAGACAATTACCTGACTTTGAGTTCACCCCAGACAACAGCAGACCTTTTATTTTACCAAACTGGAGACAACTTGCAGCAAGACGATCCAAAACACGAAGGTCTGGTTAAAAACACAAAGGATAATGAAAACTTCCCCTTGTTCGGGCATGAATCAAATGAACCTGATTTAAGGAAATGTCTACGGTATCCAGCACTGAAGCCATTCAGCAGGGACAGCAGAGGTACAACGGCTGGGCAGCCCCAGCAAAATCCCAGTGTCCAGGGTGAGGAAAAGGAAAGACAGGCTGCTGATCAGAACGAAGTGTTTTCCTTCAAAACACCCCCAAACCAGCTCTCACCAGCAGAGGACGTGCCTTACAGTGACATCCCAACCAACATGGTGGTCACTGTCCACGAAGGACACGGCAAAAGAAGCACTAGTTCTTCAGAGCAGTCTTTTGTCTCCACAGTAGAGCAACCACTTCAGGAGGAGCCATTTCCACCGGTGCCCCTGACGCAGAAGGCAAGCCTTCAAGAAAGCCAGAGGACTAACAGTGAAATGAGTTCAGACAGTAAGAAAAGCCACCAGGAGAGAGGGAAAGAGGTTGGGGAAGATGAACTGCAGTATTATGCTTGTGTCAGCTCTGGTACTGGTGCAGGAGAGAAGAGGGAGGGGAAGGTTACTGGGAATGAACAGAGGAGCTTGATGAAAGAGAAGCTAAGGACAGAGAAAAGGGAAGAGGCCAAGAGTGTGGATTCTGCTTCCAACAGCGTAAGGGACATGTCCATCCAGAGGTCTGAGGAACCACAAACACCACCATCTTCAACCTCAACCAAACCTAGTCTGTTTATGATTAAAGATAACACGTTCAGGTCCCCTCAGGTAATAAGGGCTGTCAAGCTGCCCCTCTTCAGGTCCTTTTCCCTGGATGATACAGTGAGCAGCAGTTACAAGGAAATGGAAAGTAGGTTTATGTCCTATGCAGAGCAGAAGAAGCACCGAAACCGGTCGCATGCCCAGGAGGTAGGCTGGTGGGCATCGAGGCGCAGAGGGCAGCAGAACGTGAGGGATGGAGCAAGTGATGGAGGGAAAGAGGCCAGTGAGCCTGGATCTACTCCAGCAACACTGGATCCCAGTCTTCTGGAAGATGCAGAGAGCTCTTCGTTAGGGAAGCTGATGGAAGAAGAAGAGACTTGTGCTTTGTTAAATAAAGTTGGGAAAATGAACGAGCAAAGTGTCTGCAGAAGGAAAGAGAAGCCCCAGATTAGGAAGGCAAGACACAGCTTGACACAGCCAAATTTAGGTCTGGAAAATGACCAAGCACAAACCAACCCCAGCTATCCCGCAGAAAGAACGACAAATTACTTTAAGAATCATCATTTATCGAATCGCAGAGGTGGCTCTTGCGCGAAGAAAATAATCACTACAGAGACAATTTCCCCTGTGACCGGCTCCATACCAGAGGACCACAAGTATTCTCCTGTATTCCATGAAGCTTTAGAGGACATCCTACATACAGAAGGCACGCAGGATTTGTTGGACAGTCTCACGTGCTCCGCCGTTCCCAGCCCCAGGTCGGGCAGCACCTTGCACTCTCTTGCTGCCAGTTCATCGTCTGACAAACCACCAACTTCTGGCCTGAGAGAGACAGAGGATGCTGTAAACCCTGCCTTGCTGAACATGGCACTGAGGAGCAGAGCTGGTATGTCAGCAGAAGAGATACTCGATTCCACCCGGAGGAATCTGCTTTCCAGTTCTGGGGGGGAGGCTGAGAGCTTGGAGCCCAGGGGTCCCGGGGAGAGAGCAGCAGGGAAACCTCCTGCTGTGCCACCAAAAACAGAAAAGGCCCTGCGCAGGGCCAAAAAGCTGGCAAGCAGGAGAAAGAAAATGCAAGAACAGCAGAAGAAACATCAGACTGAGCAAGAAGATGCTGTAGGGAGAAAGCCTTCTTATCCTGGACAGACACTGGCATCTCCTTCACCCTTGGGATGTTCTCCTCTCCATCCTGTCCCTCACTCAACTTTGACTCCCACAGAAACGGGTGCAGGAAGACTCAGTGGTGCATCAGCAGTAAGTCCTTCGCCCTCTTCAACCCAACGTAAACTCCTCCAAGACCCCGACTCTGGTCAATACTATATTGTTGATTTGCCAGCTGAAGTCAGTTTAAAGACATTTTATGACCCAGAAACTGGCAAATACGTTCAAGTCTCAGTCCCTTCCTTGGAAGGGAACCACCAGCCCCCTTCTTCAGAAATTAGGAGTTCTCCCTATGCTTCCTACCCAAGAGTGCTGCCTTTGCCAGCTTCATCTGTAGCAGTGCTGAGGTCACCTTCTCAGCTCTCTGAACCTACCTGGCTGATGCCAGCTGTACCAGGAGAACCAGCTGAACAACCAGAAGATGACCAGCAGGACTACAGATATGCTGAAACCGTGGATGCTCAGCCCTACATTGAACCAGCCTCTTGCTCCTTCGGTCAAGAAGCTGAAGAAACTCAAGTTCACTTACAAAAGGACATGAGCCCGACCCCACATACTGGCATAGTGTCCCTCACTGATTTAGATGATTTTGCTGCTGAAGGAGTATCTTGAAAACCGAAGTAAGAAGAAGTAAGTGTTTTTAAGAACAGACAGACACATGCACACAAAAGCACACGCAGATTTGATGTTTGTACAACACTTTATGCCCGAGTCTCACCGTGCTTTGGGTGGGAAGGAAAATGAAAGCTGACCACGCTGAGAGACGCGAGGTGATAATCACCCTGAAGAAGTGTGACATTGAGTAAGCACCAAATTATGAGTGAGCTGAAGGGGAGATGCCAGCTGAAGGAATAAAGGCGACAGGATGAAGCCACTGCTTGCTGCTGCTGCTGCTTTGCCCTTGCCATGGCTGGGGTCGCCAAAGCAAGTGTCCCTTTGCCCAGATGAGTTGTGTGATATATGACACAAAGTAAAACATGTAAGACCATCCTGTCCACCTTGTGACACCCAGGACAGAGGCCGCATCTGCCAGACTTTCCTCACTCACTGCCTTTGAACTGTACTGACAGGTAGAAAGCCCATGGCTACACATGTGCCATAAACCCAAGATTCTTTTTCTTTTTTGCACTCATTGATTGCCCAGATGTGATTGACAAAAAGATTGTATATGCACAATACAACAGCTGTGTCAAAAAATAACCTTTAAACCTCCAGAACACAGTTACAGCTGCTCTAGACTTCTCATATCCTTTTGCAGTGTCCACTAACATGCTGCTGGAATCTTGTATTTCTTGATAATCTCCAAGTAAGTGCCCTTAGAGTCAGGGGTTATTTATAATGCAGCTTACAACTTCAACTTATCTTGGTACTCGGTACTGAAATATTTTGGTAAGGAGCAAGGTTAAATGAAATCCCATAACATCATTTCATTTTCTATTAGGATGAGAAGACCTTTGCTTATTACAATTGAGGTGCTTTATGTTTTGTTTGGTTTTCAGGCTCCCACTGAAATGCAGCACTAACTTTTAAAACTTGAAAAACATTGTGACTAATTTTGGTCTTGTGAATTCTGTGATTTTAAAAGAGATACAAAATATCCAAAGTATTAATTTCTTTAAAAAGTGCTTCTTTGGATTGTCACTTTTCTTTGACATATCTGTATCAAAATATCACTCATCCTTGCATAAGCTTTTTATATCTGTATCAAAATATCACTCATCCTTGCGTAAGCTTTTTAATTGTCATAGATAATGAGAGAACCTTGGTGAAAAGATGGAAAAATTGAATGTAATATGCCTGCTTATAAATATCTATATTTGGATATTGGTTTCCTTTTCCTCTGTCTCATTTTCAGACTGTTTTCCCCAATTTGAACTGAAGTGCAGGAGCTCAAATGAAGAATTTGGCCTGATTCTCATCTCAGGCTATTTTTACAGGGTTGTTTCCAGTGAAGTGGCTCTTCCCAAAAAGAAAGGGAAGAACCAAGCCTTTGGCTAATAATTGCAACATGGAGATGGCACATGGGCACTGCGCCACTCTTCCAGTTTTAATATTTATAACTGAGGTTTTTTTCAGGAGGTTCTTAATTTCCCAGGACTATGGCTGCTTTCAGACCAACTCTTGGTGGTTTGGCTCCTTCCCTGATGTGAACTCAGCTCCCAGCCTTCCTCCATCCCTGACAAGAGCCCTGTGCTCAGAACCTCTGCTGATCCCATCCCACCTTTCATTTTGTCGGAGCTAATTGCTAAAATATTTCTTTTAGAGGGGCTAGATCAACGCCAAGTGCATCTCTTGATTGATTTCGGGGTGTTTTGGATTTGGCCCTTGATGATTTTCTAAGGTTAGTTTCACTTGTTACACGGAGTTGTGTCAGATTTGCCCCTCTGTGATTTGGCAGAGGTGTGGGGTGGAAATGGAGAAGCTTCTGCTGGTTTGGGTTGGGTTCTGAGCACATTCAGCCAAATGCCCCTCTTTGAATAAACATTTATCAGTCAGTCTCCACCCTTGAAGATTTTCAATATCTGACTTGGATAAAGCCCTGAACAGCCTGGGCTGACCTCTGAGCAAATCCTCCTTGAGCAAGAGGGTCATCCAGAGACCTCCTGAGATCTCTTGAATCCTAAATTATCCTGTGGTCCTATTCTGCAAACAGTAGATTTTTTTTAAACCAACTTTGACTCGGAATGCAGAGTGCAGTGTCCCCCAGGAAAGGGCTCATTTTGAAAGAAATAAAAAAGAATTTGAAAATCAGAAGTGTTTCAGAAGCAAGGGTCAATTTTCAAGATGTTAAATTAAGCGAAATGGCTCCTTTTATTAATATTTTTCCCTTTTTTTGATAACAAATATTTTGCTAAATTCATGTTGCACTTCTGTTGCTGTCACTGTATACAGCATAATGCGTATCCAGATTAGAACAGAATGTCATCTACATGTTAAAATATAGATAAATAGATCTATTAAGGTTTTCCATGGTACATTGAGACTGAACCTTTGTAATCTGAAAGCCTAGCAGAGTGCACAAGCCAATTTTTTGGCTTGACATTATAAATTTAAATGCCCTTAACAAGTCAAGAAGTAACCAGGCTCTCGGAGGATGGGGCAAAAGTTTGCTTTGCAAAGGGAACCTGTGGATACAAAGTTATCTGTGCACAGATATAAAAGAAATGGGTAATTTTGTGAGAAATATATACAACTGCATTAAAAAAAAGTCCCCTTTTCTTGCATAACTGTCGTTTATTTTGTAGATGTGCACGATTCTGCACCCTTTTTGTCATGGGCTGCCTTAAACTCTTGCTGTGGAGAATGGGATCCTCCAATACACTACTTCTATGTGTGCAAGGAAAGCTGGGTGTGTTTTTCACTCCCTTGTGAAATGAACCGTGGGCACCTGAAAAGGAGCCAGTTCCTTTTTCCTCCAGTGTTATATGAGCGTTGCTCCAGGTCCCAGCCTGCTATTGTCTCAATTTGAGTATAAACCCATCAGCAAACCTGTCTCTGGTGGAGACCACACTGTTGGCCAACTTCTTGCTAGACCGTGGAAGTGTGTGTATGTATAAACAGGCACATAAACCACTCTATATATATTTTTAAACCCATTATTTTTTTAAATATATATATAATACACCTATTAAAAAAGCCATATGCATGTCAGTATAAGACAGCGATAATGCCTGTGATGATGAACACAAAATGTTTGTGCATTAAAAGGAAGCCAAATAATACCTTTTCAAATAACAAATGTTTTTCTTTCCTTGCCCTTTTCTCTTTGTGTTTGTTGGGTTGTTTTTTTCCTGTTGCTGCTGTGGGAAACTAGGATGGAGGAGGTTTGGTTCGTTACCAGGCAAAATGTGAATACAGCTGTGAAATTAATTCTTTTTTTTGGGGGGGGAGGGAGGGGAATGTGCAATAGTGGTGAAAGCAGTTGTAGGAAAAGGACTGTTTCATGATGCAAATGACAGTGACATTAAATCATAGCTTAAAGAGATGTTGAGGCAAACTTAGCTGAATTCTGCCTTGCCAGCAGCTGGTGGTTGGGACTAAAGGACACAGTGGGCTCTTTGCACGCTCAGAAGCACCGCAGGCTGAAGGGGACAGAGAGACATTGCCTTCACTGCTCCCTTCTCCTGTGTGTGGCCATTTTTTTGGCATGTTGCATTTCTGGGTGCCCTGAGACTCATTCTTCCACGGCAGACATGACTGAGGCCAAACCTGCTCTCCTTAGTCTTTGGCTCTGAGGCCAGAATGGCCTCCCTTTGAGCCTCCTTCTCCTTTTGGGGCAACCACACCTTCCAGTCTAGTTGTCACACAGCAGACACGGCCATCCCACAACAGTGGCACTGTCCCAGGAGCTCACCTTTCCTCGTGAAAAATGATGGATTTCTTTTAGAGAGTTCGGTTTAATTGAAATGTGTGGATTTTTATCAACTCCTCATTGGGTGTTCAGTGCCTTCCTAAGCCATCTGTCCAAGAAAATGTGTGTCATCAGCATGTTCTATTGATGCAACTTTATTTGGAAATAAGTAATTATTTATTAATTAATAAACAAAATAAATGGGACTTGTTTTACAATACTGGAATGACTTCTAGCCAGCTTTTTCATTGTGATTATGTCTCACTGTAATTTTATTTCCAGTTGTGCCAGCAGAAAAAGTTGACAACATGGAAGTGTGTGTTTGTGTGTGCGTGTAGGTGATACACAATTAAAAGACGTAGGAGATAACTGGATGCAGGGCTTCATCCCTGTTCCTCCTCCTCCTAAAGAGAGGGAGCAGAAGGTTGGGCAGAAACACCTTTGGCCCAGGACTCCTGTGACCGTTCCCACCCCTCCATGCAGTGTGAGGGCAGCGATTTGGCCAGAGGACCCTGGAGATGTGGTGCCAGCACCCAGTCCAGCAGCACTGGAAGAGGATCACCTTCTTGCAACCACCCAGAGGACATCAGGGCTTTCACATTCCCTGTGCTCCATCCACCTGAGGGACGTCACCAGGTATGTAACTTGTCTTTTCCATTACTAAGCAGTCCTGCAGACTGTATGTAGTCTCTAAAGTCTTGTCAGTGGTGGTTTTACATTTCTCCTCAGTTTCTCTTGCTGTCCATCCTGTTATGAAACACAGCAAAGACTCTTCTCAAAAGTGGTTTTGGCTCAGTCCTTGTCCAGACTGGCAATTGCTCTGCTTTGATCCCTGAGTAGCCAAGCAGTCCTTGCTGATGGCGAAATGTTACTCTGGTTTGAATAGAACAGAGCTTAAATAGAAAAGTTATTGACTAGTTATGTTTTTGCCAGAAATGCATTGACAGATTTGCATCTCTCTATTTGGGGGATATACCCTGTTTCCTTTCTGAGTAGAGAATTCCAGCTTTCATCCTCTGTCTCCCTCCAAGCTGGTGATACCGTACATGGTGGGTTACACGGGCTCTAGTGATACATACAAATGGGTAATTTGAAGCAACTGGTGTTCATCAGTCATTTTTATTAAAGAAGCTCTGCTTCAGAGCCTTATAGGAGACAGAAAGAACATGGAACACTGGAGTAAATTGAACTTCAATGTGGGGTTGTTTGGGGTTTTTTTGTGAAATGCTATTATAACGTTATAACAACAGAGGTCAATGATTAATTTATTCTGTCTTCAGGATGATTATTCTGGTCTTATGATGATCTTACATTCTCCACTGTCCCCTGATATTAAAGATAATATTGTAATTACAGGGTTTAAATGGGTAGGGAATGGCTGGAAATGGCCTGTGGTCTTCCCTTGCTTCTTTTTGATATTCTCAAAGATTTCGTGATGTTGATTTTTTACATTAGGCAGTCAGGTCTTCGGTTCTCTATGGCCAATTAGAGACTTGTTTCTAATAGGCTGTTGAATGTACTTAGAAAGCAGCATTTCAATAGCGCAGAAGAGAAATCATTCATGTCCCAGTTGCCTAAAGCTCTGTGCTTTTATTAAAGCAGATATAACTCAAGGCTTTGGGGAAGCAGGTTGCAGTGCTAAAAGACAAGCACTTTCCCATGTCAAAGTCTGTATCAAATAAATGGAGACCTGGGGTACTTCGAAAGAAGGAGAAGGACGAAAACTCTGTGAGAAGCAGGGACAGCCTTTGAGCTCCTTCTACCAATGGAAAGAATCTGAACTCCATCAAAAGCTGAAAAAATATTCAAAGCTGGAGATGTGCTTTGAAAAGTCAGGGCTTGTCAAAGTTACCACCAAAATGAAGCATTTCAGGTGAGATAA